ATTGTGTAGTTCCTAATCCCAGCGACAGTTCAGCCATTGCTCAACCAAAGGAGGCGCAGAAATTCTTGCTACCATAATGATGTGCAGATCTTGTAAAGCTGGGGTTGGCAAACTTGTCTTAGTCCTACTATGATAAAAACAATATATTTTCTGAGAAACTGTCTTGAAGGTACCAATAGGTAAAATAACAACCATTGATAATGTCCTACCATTTTGTCTGTAATTCGGTGAATCCCCCTATTGCTATGTTGTCCTTCTTTTGTGCTTTTAAATAAAATTGCACAGCTTCAAAAAAAAAAAAAAACCAATATATTTTGCTTCATGCAGGCCTTCCTAGTTCAATCACCTGGATATGTCGGTGTGATGGAAAAATAGGGCAAATATTTAAATTTTAAAAAGTTATCTCAGTAAAAGACACCTGGTCATTAATTCCCCTTGAAGTACGTCCCCTTGCTTCAAACAGATCATCCCATTGCTCCTGCCACTTTGCGAAGCAGTTCTGGTGTCTTCTTTCCTGTGTGTCTTTAGCTGGGGTGTCCTGGCTGCCTTAGTGTCCTGAATCATTCAAACCGTGTGCCCTTCATGGTCATTTGGACTTTGGGGAGGAGCTGGCAGTCCCACGGTGTCAGATTCGGTGAATAAGGCGGATGAGGACACACTGCAATGTTTTTATGAACCTGCCTTTCCATTGGATGGCTCTGGGCAGCAGCAGTCACCCTATTTTTGATCACACCTGGCAAAGGCGCTCAGGAAAGAAGACTTCCAGGACTGCTTCAGAAAGTGGCAAGAGCGATGGAAAAGTGTTTGAAGCGAGGAGGGTATTTTACGGGGATCCATGGCAATGTGCCCTTTACTGTAAAACACTAGTATAATGTGTTTTCCATCACACCTAGTACAACGCACTTCAATTCGAGAGGGAAAAGAAAACAAACTGTTGCATAGGTGTCCGCCAGCTCACTTTGCTTCTGTTACACATCTGGGGGTGCAGGAGGAGCCCCCGCCCCCAGGTCTCCGCCCCCAGCTTGGC